TGGCAAAATATGGAGGGGGCTATCACATGTCGTGCTTTTGCAGTAGTCTAGCTAAAATTTGAAGTATTGGGAAACAGAGAATATTTAACTAGATTAAACTCCTAACACACTCCTCTCTTTCTTCTTTTAGTAATGTTTTGTGCAGTTTTTATGTTTTATGTGATTGTATATATATTTATTGTTTTAATGGGATATGTGAGCTGCCCAGAGTCCCCCATCGGGGGGAGATGGGTGAAGATAAATTTAATAAATAAATAAACAACTTACCCTCAAGTTCATACTCTTCTTTTGTTACTAGCTTCTTGGGCTTACTGTATTTAGCTGTACGATGACAAATAACATGAACTTGACATTAAGTGATACACAAATATCTTACATCTTGGTTTTGTTTTTTTTTTAATCCTGTTTTAAATTTTAAAAATTGTCTTGCTGACTTGGACTAATAGAGTTCAGGCCCAGTGACATATGGAGTATAGGTTGTCTACACTTCTAAGGATGTGGTATAATGGAGTAGTGCTTATCCATAATTTTTAGCTTGAAGATGAGTATTTGGCATGAGAAATTGAAATGTTTTTGTGTTTTGTCCTATACCCTCATTCTTAAGTTTTTTGCCCTACAGGTAGTCCTCGAGTTATGACAGCAACTGGGACTGGAATTTTCGTTGCTAAATGATGCAGTTGTAAAGCTCGATGTTACATGACATCGTTTAGCAATGGCAATCCCAGCACTTCCTGTTGTCATTGTTAACTGAAACCCACTGGTCATTGGCCAAGGACCCACACTGATCCAAGCCATTCCCGGCTTGGTCCCTCCCAGCCCTGAGCCTTGGTTCTTTCAAGGTAAGGGATTGCCTCCCCTTTAACATCCCTCAACTGCCTATTCCCCCCCACAACCTCTGCCCTTTTGCTACCCTGCACCCTGCCTTACGGTGCCACCCCAGGAAGCCCCAGTCCGGAAGCTTCAGCTGCCCCAGCCTGGCCCATCAGGCTGGCTTGAAGCTCCAGCCTCTCAGCTCAGTTGCATGGCACAAAGCCTGAGTCCCAGCCACCCTGCACTCCGAGGCCCCTGCCGCCCCAGCTGACCTTTGCTGTCTTCTTGTTCCTGCTGCTGCTAAGGCATGCCCAGGATGGCCCTTCGCGAGGCAACTGCTGGCCACGCAAGGCTTTCTTCCCCAGGTCTTGCAAGGAAACCTCTATTTTGACCTCGGGAAGAAAGCCTTGCGTGGCCAGCAGCTGCCTAGTGAAGGACTAGGCCAGGCATGCTTGGGCAGCAGTGGAAGCAAGAAGATGCAAAAGTCAGCTGGAATGACAGAGGGCAGGATGACAGGGGCCTCAGAGTAGAAGGGGCCAAAAGGGCAGAGATGGGGGGAGATAACTGATGGGGGGACTTAAAGCACCCCCACGGTCCTATGTGCGGGTGGGCTGCCAAGTGCCCAAATTTTGAACACGTGACCGTGGGGGCACTGCAATGGCCATAACCTTGGTGACTGAGCATAAGTGCATTTGTTCAGTACCATAGTTTGTGCTAACTCAACTGCTCTAATGTAAACTTCTCACATTTGAATGAGCTTCTGTTGAAATTTCAGTTCTGTTGAAATTGTCAGTTGATATCTATTCTCTTCTTTCAACAGGTAAACATCCAGAGATAAAAACCTTGATGAAACCAGACTACAACGTGATCTGGTTGGTTGTACTTATGGTGCTTGCACAACTTATTGCTCTTTATCTTGTTAAAGATTTGGATTGGAAATGGGTTGTATTTTGGGCATATATATTTGGCAGTTGTCTCAATCATTCCATGACTTTGGCTATTCATGAGATTGCTCACAACAGTGCCTTTGGCAATTCGAGATCCTCATGGAATCGATGGTTTGGAATGTTTGCCAATCTCCCACTTGGTGTACCATACTCCATATCTTTCAAGAGATACCACATGGATCATCATCGTTATCTTGGTGCAGATGGAATTGATGTAGATATTCCTACTGATTTTGAAGGATGGTTTTTCTGTACCCGTTTTCGAAAACTCATATGGATTATTCTTCAGCCACTTTTTTATTCTGTTCGACCCCTCTATATTAACCCCAAACCAATATCTCGATTAGAAATCATCAATTTATCAATTCAGTTTATCTTTGATGTTCTTGTATACTATGTTCTGGGAATAAAATCATTGTTTTATCTGCTGGCAGGAATAATATTGGGGCTGGGCTTGCATCCTATTTCAGGACATTTCATAGCTGAGCATTATATGTTTTTAAAGGGATATGAAACATATTCGTATTATGGGCCACTGAATAAGCTTACATTCAATGTTGGTTATCATAATGAACACCATGATTTTCCTAATATTCCTGGAGCAAGTCTTCCACTGGTAAGTAAATATCAGTGCATTTATTTTGTTTTTGCAGCTAAATGCTTAAACAGCCATTTCTAATGAATGAGCTATTCTATAGATTCTGGCTGCTATTCAACACCTGCTATGGTTTGCAATGTAGCATACTCATAGTACTTTGAAATTAAAATGAGATGATTCTGTGCATGCTTTCATTACAACTACAGTAGTAAGTGTTTAGAAAGTAATTATGAAAGTAAATGTTTAGTAAACTAAACATAGTCCCTTGTTTCAAATAATAAAGCTTATTCTTCAGAGCAGTAGCATATATTTAGATGCCAAGATTCTTTAACAGAGAACAAGGGATAGTGCCACCACATATTACCATTTTATAAAGTTCAAGTATTTTTGGTAAAATAGGCTCTTCACAAACATTAATGTAAGAAAGGGATTTATATTTGCCACAGGGCAAACTTTTCCAAGCAGGCCTTAGCCAAAAATATACAGTACTGTGCAAAAGTTTTAGGCAGGTGTGAAATAATGGTGTAAAGTAAGAATCCTTTCAAAAAATATATATTGTAATTGTATGTTTATCAGTTTACAAAATGCAAAGTGAGCAAACGAGAAATCTAAAATCAATATTTGGTGTGACTACCTTTTGGCTTCAAACCAGCATCAGTTCTTACACTTGCACACTTTGTACAAAGTGTTCTAGGAGTCAGGTGTATGATTAACCAATTGTACCAAGCAGGTGCTAATGATTATCAATTTCATATGTAGGTTGAAACACAGTCATTAACTGAAACAAACAGCTGTGTAGGAGGCTTAAAACTGGGTGAGGAACAGTCAGGTGTATGATTAACCAATTGTACCAAGCAGGTGCTAATG